TACGGATACATGACGTCTTTTAGAATCTTAAGTCTATTGCTACTTAAGTATTGCCTTAGTGTCTCGAACGTCTAAGACGAAGCACTGCTGTGAGGTGGGCTGTAGACTGTGATTTGACTAAGCCCTGAACCGGAAGGTTTATACGGTTTCTAAGGTCATCTGGAATGACAAATCACATAATTACTAGATGGCATGACCGCAAGGATACTAGTCATGTACTGCACCACCGAGAGGGAACGTTGATCCAAAGAATCAACTGCCAATTGTGGAACCTGGCGGAGCCTTGATAAGGTCCTCCCTGAAAAAAGTGGGCGCCACGCTACATGCGCGACTGATAGGCGATGAAGCAAACGTTTGCTGTCATGTATGGATAGGCGTCAATGTATCCGAGGCGTGGCAGCCGCCCGACGTGACTTTGCTGAGAGCAACTGACTTTGCTGCCTCGAACGCATCGGCTCCTCAATGCAGGAGTGGCTTTCGACAGCAATGGGTGCTTTAAATAGACAGGCAGGCTCGACATCTTAAGCGCAAAGCGGTATCATAAGCGACTAGGGAGGACCTACAAATTCGTAAATGTCAATGAAAGAGCCACGACAAATACGGACTACAGAGAGGGACTACTAGAGAGTTAAGTTCATTGTAGTTGATCCCGTCATTCAAGTGCTCAGTTATGTATCCATACTTTAGAGAGTTTCTGAGCATGTGCTAAACATTGCTTAATGTTAGTGACTGTTAACTTGAGTGTCTGTGGGCTTAATACATTAATTTAAAGCAAATAAACGGAACAGGTGATCTTTCACCTGCCTTCATTTAATTTCGAAATATCCCCAAATTTTCTGAATACAAGGTTGAGCTGAAGTGTTGAAAATTCTGGTGTGATCATAAAAATCACGTAGTCGTATCGTTGCAAATTTCCTAGTATTTCCGAGAGAAATTATGAAAAAACCGGTTGTTCATGACATTTCGGATACTATTACTGTTATGACCGCACGGTCCTACTGACTCCGCTTGTTTTGAGCTAGCTCCCTTACCTTCGTTTCCATCCCTGCCAATAATTGAATGTCATCTGATTAAGAATTTAGAAACTTCAATCCGTTCCGAGAGATAAAGCCTTCCCAGTGCGCCAGCGTGTTGACTTTCAATTCAAGGATTTCTTTTGAACATTTGAAATGCGAATGATCGTCACAAATGTCTAGCGAATGGTTGAGGGCAGGTGGATGGTTTCCCCCTGGTTTTCGGATTGATTAGCTGAACGGCTGAAAGGACGGAATCCTGTCTCATAAGTTTGCTGATGTTGCGTTTAACGGTTTTGTGACAGACTCTGCGAAAATTATATGAAAAAATGCAACATAGAAAATAAAATAGAACGTCCGCTCTGATTTCTTCTCAGGGCATATTTGGCCCTCTTCGCCCCCCCCCCTTTCGACCACCCCCTGGCGTTTGAAGAAGAGTGGCGAGTGGAGTTGTTCGACATGTCTCAGAATCAAATTCTTTGAAGAAACAGCTCATGACGGTGATGGGTGGTGGTAGTGGTGGGGTGATAGTGATTGGCGGGTCGTTACTTCTCTTTGAGAGGCGAGAGCGGAGTCCTTAAATTTAGAACATTGGAGGCAACTGAGCGGACTGCACCCTGCCTGAAGAACGTGACCACAGGCGCACGCCTTGATAAATGTTGGGCGCTAACTACATGGGTCTTTCAGGGCAAGCCGGGCTTTTTTTTTAAAAAGGTTTCCTGCATATATGTAGGGAGCAAAGCATACCTGTCTGATTTTCGCTGAGGGCGGTTTGATTATTACCAACAAACAAGACGTGGAAAACTGGATGGGAATGAAGAGGATGGAAAACTACGAGGATGCCAACAGCCGAAATTCGCACTAGGTTGAGAGAGTTACAACAATAATGACTATACGGGGCCATTGCTATAGGCCTATGCGATACCTACCCTAGGTGCAGGCGTGTGCATCATGCCGGCGCACGTGGAATGGACGGGAAAAAAAGCTGTTTCGGTACCGGATACTCACGCGAAATCGTCTCGTCCATTAGTGTTCAGTTTGTTTATTAATGCCTTTAGTGGTTTCGAATTTCCGGCACTGTTGGGACGTTATTCTCCTCTGTATGAAAACAGGCAGGTCCAAGTGTAGGTTCCTGAAGATAAATTTTTCGAAATTCTTTCATAGCGCAGGTCACCTTGAACAGACATAACATTTTCATCATTGACTTCTGTCAATCTCATCCAAGACTATGTAACAACTCACTGCCACAGGAGATGGCTTTGGGAACGCCGAACTGTGGTCCCTATTCAGGGGTAAGTATTTCCGCTGTCTCCCAATTTTTCAAGATTTTCTAATCATTGTTGCGTTATTTTGATTGTAGGACAAAACTAGTGCCAAATCAGGGATAATAAGCCTTAGGGTGGATTACAAAAATTTTCACATTATACAGGCTAACCAAGCGGGGTTCTCTGGAACCAAGCGAATTATTTAATTGTTGTTGGTTATCTGTTTCTACCACATGGTCCAACAGTTCAACAGCCGATTTGCATTATACCCTATTTTTTATCCATAGTTTATACGGAATTATAGAATGTTTCCCCGCGTTCACTTCTATTCTGTCTAAGTGTTGTGTTTTTTTCTATGGTAATTGGATGGGAATCATCAGGACTGTGGGGGTAATTCCATCATGCTGTGCAGGCCTACAACGTTGGTATATGCACCCTAAATTGTTACCTCCAGCGCATCTACAGCACGCTGCCCGTAATACATGCCGGCTCCCAGCGAACAGTACAAAATTCGCTCTTATGCTTTGCTCGATTAATTGAATTGGCATATTTTGTAAATCCACGTTCTGTAGATGTCCTGAACCTCAAAAATCTGCCTTGTGATCGAAGAAAAGCGCTTTGCGAAGGTTCGTAGCCTGGTCCCCCCCCCCCCCCCCCCCACCTAAGCAGTCATACCGCCAATCTACTACATCTACAGCAGGGGGTGTCCACGTTTCATCGGTCCGCGGCTATGTTTTTCCGCTTGTCGTTTTGTTGCCCCCCCCCCACTCCACTGTAAACCATTTGTCAGCAAATAAAACGCGCTTCAATCCAAAGTGATTCCTTATCTTGATTTATTCTCTGGTGTCATTTCTTCCATCTTCTGGCCGATCCCCCAACGAGCCAGCTTTTTATGTTTTGCATTCAGTTTTGCGGCGAAACGTTAATCACATAATTGGATGCGCGTAAAAACCGTGGTTTTTCGTTAAAATGTGCCTCGATGAAAAGTGAATGTCTGCTCTTGCATGACAACCATCTCCCTCTGTACCGAGCTTTTACGCCCCCTTCGAAGATTTTCAGTCATGGGGTTCACTAGCTTAAAAGGAACATGGGAGGGTGTGTAAACGGCTGCGAAAGAAAAACGGTGCTCATACCCATGGGGAAGTGTGGGAGGGGGTGTGGGAGACACTCAGTACAGGGCATTCCAAAACGCACTGGTACGTGACACTACGCTAAGCACAAGGAGGGAGGGGGGGGGGAAAGGGTGAACGCAACGGGAACAAATGACTGAAATGTTCCCACCAGAAATCCGCTTTTCTTCCCCGAGCTTATCCAGTACTGCTGAGTGGTTTTCATGATACTCCCCCCCCCCGCTCCACCCACAACGACGTGAGCGGATAGAAAATTAAAAAGGCGCTGTTGGATAACGTTACTGTTAACGACCTTTTATGTACCGGGGTACGAATTGAATAAGATATCATTAGGTCTGAGTATTTATTCTTGTACTTTCGTTTTTCCGAAAGGTTTCAGGTGACCAGGGAATTGGGATTTCCACGGCATGCTCGCGAGGTTTCGTGAAGGGTGTTATTCACGACTGCATGGAGATCGGTTCAGAAATCGGTGGAACCTCTCGGCCAGAGAGACCTAAGCTTTCGACTGATGTATAAGTTGCCATCCGCAGAGAGGAGCCTGAAAAATTTGTTATTTTACAATCATAATCCACTAGCGGGTCAGCCATCGCCCGGTTCCGTTCTTAGTATGGTTGATAGGGGCCTTGGGTTGGTGCAGTGATGCTGTGTACTTGTTACGCGAAAGCCACCAAATCCAACAACGCCCTGCTTAAACCTCGCCTACTGCGACAAAGCCTTCCATTTCTCGAGTCGGCAATTGTTACCGGACTGGGATTAAGAAAAAATCAAACCGAAACCCGCTTTGGGGTACCTCAGCTGTCCCACTGCATAAACCACCGTAAGGACTCTGCCTCGACTCAAATTGCCACTACCGACTTTGCCCATGGGAGAAGATCCCTAGCGCATCTCAAAACGGAAACTGACGTGAAGCGTTCATACTTATTCACTTCAATCGGCCACATATCGCTTTCTGGCTCCATTAGGCACTTTGTCAATGCCGTGACATAAGCATAACCTTCCAGAACCCTTTGCTATCGGCATGTCCTGCTACTTTTGGTTACAGTGGCTTTGTCGTCCCTATACAGCCTTCGGCCGGTGTATGGTCAGGACCCGAGATCGAAATGACAGTGTAAGCAAAACTGTTCAATTTCTACTGAGGCATTCTACAAGAAAGGTCTTTCAGGGCCTGGAGCGCTTTTTTATTGGTTTTCTGCATGCTGTGGGCACTGAACCATTTTCCGTTTCTCTTGAACGCCTCCAGGAATGTCAAAGCAGTGGTTAAGAATTGGTCCAGAGTTCGAACCCCTGTGATGGCTAATTTTTGCAATATAGTTTGGTGCCCCAGATTGCCGCCCAATGGCACCATCATCGAAAACATGTAGATGTTACAGTCGTGTTTTGTGGCAATATGGGGGCACACTATATTGCAAAAAGTAATCATCACCGGGGATCGAACTCTGGATCATCTCTTCCCCGCTGTTTTGACATTCCCGACAGGGGGTTCAGGAAAAATAAACCATGGTTCCGTATTCCTCACATGAGCCTCTACAACATTCAGATAACCATTTCGAAAAAAACACCTCATGAACTGAAAGACCTCCCTTGCTAGTAGCCGTCAAAGACTTTCAGCCAGAAATAATTCGTCGCTGGGGATATCCGGTAGAAGTCCACTACGCGGTCACCCGAGACGGCTATATTCTCGAGATGCATCGCATCCCCCACGGGAAGACCGGTAAGTCCCAAAGTTCAGTACCGCTTGCGCTCATATAGGCCTGTGCACGTTTCAGGTGCGGCGCCAAACACCAAACGTCCTGTAATGTTTCTGCAGCACGGCTTGGATGCAGCAGCAGCAACTGGGTGATGAACCTGCCAAAACAGAGTGCAGGTAAAATTATTAGATGGCCATAAAGTCATCTAGAACATATCCAATTGTTTCTTTCGCTTTATTTGCAATTGCGAACCTCTATATCAATCATTTCATACTTCAGTCTCACCTCCTGCTATCGTGGAATGTGCCTTTAAGGCCGTGGCGACCTTTTAAGGCACTGCATCACGACGGTTGGATGGCAGTGCGATTTCGATGACGTCACTGAACGTCACTGAAAGGCCAGATTACGCGCGGTGGAGGCGTGATTGGGTCCGCCTTCCAACGCCCTTCCATCAATGACGTCATCAAAACCGCACCGCCCCAAAGCCATCGTGGTCATTACCTATAGCTGTGTTTCTTGCTTAATTTATGTCAATTTGTCCCATCTGTTAGAACCTTTTCAGAACACCTAGATGGATGCCGAGGACCATCTCGACAATAGGCAAAATCCCATTCCAACGCTACTCCGCGCGCGCCAGCAAGTCCGCAATCACGGTGTGCCCAACTGCGAGAAAAGAAGAGGGGGAAAACCGATCCGAAAACTGGAGGCAGCCAAAAATCATGCATAAACAACGGAATAAAGCATTATTTTGTATCAGGTTTCATCTTTGCTGATGCCGGTTTCGATGTTTGGATGGGGAATATGCGTGGAAACAAATATTCCAAGAGCCACGCCTTTTTAGATCCTATGTCCAGCGATTTCTGGAATTTCACGTAAGCCATCAGCTTCATTCGTATCCCCCTAAACTAAAAAGGCCTTAATATATCCCAGATGGGACAGCATGGCACAATACGATCTGCCGGCGATGATCGACCAAGTGCTGCTCGTCTCTGGCCAGGAGCACGTCTACTACATCGGCCATTCCCAGGGCACCCTCACCATGTTTGCCAAGCTTTCTATGGACACCGCATTTTCCAAAAAGGTTAGTCTGTGAGCGGTAATCTCCCATTACGGATTAAAGGCAAAGCTTCCAGATCAAGATGTTCTTCGCACTGGCCCCGATCCTTACTGCGGCACATGTCAAAGGTTTGCTGAAGACCCTGATTGCGGAAGCCCCGCCAGAGCTTACAGTAAGTCCAACTGATACTTCAATCTGTGAACCACAAACCCCACTTCCCGCTTTCACTTTTTTACTATTTCTTCATATTCTATTTCAAATTTTTCTAAAATAACAGACATGGAAGGAGCTGTTCGGATCCCAGGAATTCTTCACCTCGTAGACAACTTTTTGCCCGGATACATACATATCAAAACGGATGTAGGTACCGCATTTCAACGTGAGATGTGCAAGCAGTTTATTGTTCGCTATTTGAGGTCCTGGATTGAATACCCAATACGGTGAGTGAGGAACGAATATTTTTTTATGACCTCAATATGTACAGTGAGGATTCAGCCGGACGTCTCAAACAGTAAGTCTCTCTATCGATATGTGCGCACCAAAATGACGGGGCTTCGCAAGGAGGCATGGAGGGGTTTTCCCAAAGGGTTTCGTTCAGGGGTGCCGAGCCTTTTCAAATTGTTTCTGGCGTGGACATGGGCTATATGTGGGAACCAAACAGAACCATGGTTCAGTTTATTGAACGGCCCTCTGATACGCTAAAACCCAGTTCGATCCCCGCGGTGACAAATTTTTCATTCAGTTATGTTCCAAAACGCGCAAAATGATTTAGTATGAATGATAGTACCATACTCATGATAAGAACCTCAGTAATCTGAGAATAGGCCTCTGAATAAAACTGGTGGACAAAAATGTGACATCACAGGGATCCGTTTTGTGTCAGCGCCTTTTTCCACCAATTTTTTACCCCAAGTCTTTTCGTAAGGGCTAAGCTGACGATCCTTAATCATGAATATGGTACCAATTATTTCGTGCTAATTTCATTTTGCGCGAATTTTGGAAGGAACTCGTAATGCAAAAATTTGTACAACGAGAAATCGAACTAGGTTCCCCTTTTTTCTGGTATTCAGAGGGCCGTTCAGGAAGATTAACCATGGTTCTGTGGTTCCGCTTGTGGCCATATATCATGCAAAAAACCATTTTGAAAAAGCTTGGCACACTCTGAGCAACCTCCCCTGTAAGAAGCAAGCAACTGCCTCTGACCACTGGCCTTGCGCTGGAGCATTAGATTGAAAGAATAATCGAGAATCAAATCAGAAACTCCTCAGCCAAAATTTTTGAAGGGTCGGATGAGTGAAGATGGGCGCGTTTATGAACGGGGGATTACGCTCTTCCATCGATGGTTTGGCCCTTAAGGCTCAATATCCTTTCCCGTCACTGTCCAACGCGATTCGTGAACTCTCCTTCAAAAATAAATCAATTGAGCAATTGGCTTAGTTCGGAGTTGACCTCTAGCTATGAATTTCCTTCGCAGAAGCAAAATTGGGCAAAAATAGTTGGGATGGGTCGGGAGGGCCACATAAATCAGACTTGCCACTTTCGCCACTAGAATAGAAGTATAATAAATTACTGAAAGGCGCATCAGCTTTTCTGATAGCCTAAAAATCCCAGACCTTTCGATCTTGTCATTGAAATGCAGTTTGATAGCGCTATAACAAGCGGAAACAATGACAGAGGTGCCAACACACAGCCAGTTCAGTCTCTGGAATCGATTTCTAGTCAGCTGACTCAGAATTCATCAGCCATAAAATGAAACAGAGTGAATAGCCCAATGCAAAACCCTGAGCAAGATCAAATTTCAGAGTCGAATTCCTGTTTACTTTTCCCATTTTCCTGCTGGAACATCGTCCCTGAACATGTTACACTGGGTTCAAATGGTCCGAACGGGTGCAACAGCCCGTCTCGATCGCGGAGCGGAAACAAACATAGCCACATATGGGCAGGTATGTATGTAGAGCATTCAGTGACAGCACGTTCAGGGATGATAGCGTTCAAATTTCGTTTCAGGGAAGTCCTCCCACGTATAATTTTCGGGATATTCCTAGAATTCCCATCTATCTCTTCTCAGGAGGGAATGATTGGATCGCCGTTGATGAAGACACTTATGGTTCCTCATTTACCACAATCGGACCCTGTTACTCTCAGGGTAGCTCAGCCCCGTCAGCCTTCATCCTCTATGAGAAAAGTAGCACATTGATTTTTTCGCAGCTTCACCTGGCCGAAGACAATCCACTTCGACTTCGTCTTCGGTGGTGCGAGCATCTGTTGACGTCTACAAGCCTTATCATGATCTCATCCAGAAGAGCTTCAATAAAAGCTCGACGACAAGTGCACTCATGCCCAGTAGATCTCACGTTGAAACCTCTATTTTGATTACATTTAATGTATTAGTGGAATAAAAAGGGAGTTCCAAGAGTAAGATTTTGAGTCGAAGTGGGCGCCGTGAAAACCGCGGCCAAGGAAAATTCAAACCTAATAAAAGGCCTGCTAGCTTGCGATATATCAACTGTCAATCATGATTCGACTCCCTAAAGGTTGAGTTGGTTATTTAACACACAGCGTACATTACTACAACAGAACTGATAAGAACTCTGTTTATTTTCTGATTCCTCAATAAATTGCGGAACTTGTCTAGGGGGGGGGGAGGCGCTTCTCCTAGAACCAACCGCGTTGGCTTTTGACTGTAGAATGGCTGATACTACTGGAAGTCAAATCAGTAAAATAAATCAAGACTGAGTCCAAATAAGACTTTCACACGTGGTCTATTGGACAAACTTTCCACTGTATGACACTTCGATGAAGCACTTTTTCACCGCTTTTGAACTTTTCTGCTGGTCGCAATGTTTACTTGATGAGTACTGATCCGCCTGTGTTTCGGCAATTAGCTCATTACGCATGGCAATAAGAATAATCCTACTATGTATAATGCGCTAAGGCTGTCTGATCGAGTCTGTCGTCTGTCTGTCTTGTCTGTCTGTCTGTCACGAAATTCCGTATTAATGCGAACAACAACCTACTGGGTCCAGCGGTCATGTTTGGGTGGGTGTAATATCTCAGAGAAGTAAAAAACATACATTACCTAAGCGGAGGCCCCGCCCACAGTGGGCGGGAGCGTGCGTCGAATGGTGGTAAGAGGACCAATGATTTCAATTCAGTCACAAAAACAAGCCTTCGAACCGGGACAAAAGGCATAGGTGTGGGGTTGGGAAGCCAGATTGAACTGAGAGACCACATCGCGTGGGGGGCTTCTCTCAGAAATGGGTGCTTCAGTATAAAATATTCAAACTCACGAGAGGAAGCCTACAGACCAGAAACGAAAATTAGTGCACGGGGAGGAGCAATGCCTAAGGTATTTCCACCACGCATGATCGTGAACGGGGGCCGCCCACTATGGGCGGAGCGTGTCGTGAAGCGGACAGCATGGTTTCTACAAGAGCTCATAAATCGCTCCGAGGGACTTAGAGACCGGAAACACGGATAGAGGTCAGGGAGGGAGGAGAAGCTAAATGTGCAGGGATGGGCGATGGCTTTACATCAAAAGTGGGCGGATAGTTTGCAATTAGGCTATATAACTCGGTCTAGTGCAGTCCCCGGTGTCCGGGAAAAAGCCCGCACGTGTGAGGGTTGGCAGAGGGAAGGGGTCAAAACGTTGTGTGGGCTGGCGAGGTGCACCAGTGGGCGGGGTTAGCCACAGGTACTTCATACTCGGGGCAATAAGTTCCAGGAGGTGGGAGAAAAGTGTTAGAAAAAGGTTGGGGAAGAGGTGATAGCGCACTGATATCAGTGGGCGATCACCGCCCAAAGTGAGGCGGGGCGTCTGCCTCAAAAATGCGAGTGACTCAATAAAGCCAGTTAACAAAGACCTCATAATTCGGGCTCCGAGATGACTTTTAGAACCTGACCAAAAAAAAACACGCCAGAGGTGAAAATAGGAGTAGAGGATGTAGGTGAACGCTGGCGCGTGGCACACCGGATTGTGGGGGGTTGCCACCGCTCTCATAACTCGCGTTCTAGAAGGTTCCGGCGACCAGGGAAAATGTGCATAAGTATTGAGGTATGGAGTAGGGTTGACTGCCATTGTTGGGCTTAAGCATGCCACCAAAGTCAAGGGCTCGGCCTCAGAAATTCGTGACCATAACGCATTACAAGACCTATAATTCGCCGAGATGATGTGTGAGAACTGAAAAAATACGCCAGAGCGGGAAAGTAGGAGTAGAGTTGAATGTGAACGCTGGGCGTGGCACACCGGATGGTGGCGGAGTTTACGGTTGTAAAGTAAGATGCTACGAGCAGAAAGCTAAAATTCAATGACAAAAATACTGCAGGGCGGCCCGATTTTACCGGACTGAAGCCCCGTTCTTCATGCACCGAATTGCGTGCGCCAGCAAAACTGAGTAAGTAAATAAATAAACTCACCTGGACGTGGCAGTACCCAGGTAAGAAGGTCAATGCGCTTTATTTGTTCTCCAAATTCTGAATGGAAGTCGGATGCAAAGCTTATCCCAAAATGATCGAGCTCCTTATAATATCTGTAAATACATATATTTGTTTTCAAGATGCATACTAACATAATTGTATTAAAAGTGTAGCAGATTGTCAGTTAAAAAAGACATGGAAAGAAAAATTGCATTAAAATAACATTACATTTCCGGCTGGAAACCAAAGACGTGGCGGATCACGGAAGCATTGTTTATTCGCTTGGCAGCTGCTTCCGTCCTACTCTGGCTATATGACATTTCAGCGGATCAGAGCTCAAGCATAATATTGTAGAAAAAAATGAAATTAGGAGAGAGATGATAAGGAGGAAACAAAAAGAGACATCCAACACTCCTCCGACATCAAAATTTATGCTGGTGGTGGAACAAGAGAGGCTGGAGAAGGGGTCAAAAGCGGTTGATCATATTTTCACAGCCATTCACGGCTTTCAGAAGTGCTCTCATTTTTGAGAGTGCCTATCTTCTTCAGGTTGTATTCCACTGAAAACCGTCTGATAAACTCCATTTCGTGGAAGGCCGGGGGAGGTGAGGGTTGCAGGGGAGTCGTCATGACTAATCGCGATTTCTTCAATACATAGCTTATTTATTCTGGCACTGTCATTTGCCTCTTAGTGGCCCGTTCCTTAAAATCATGGTGTTCAATTTTACATACTCATGGTTCTGATCTATTCAGCTTGTTTGATGCTTGTGAAATCCTAGCTTCTTGGCCTGGTACAGTGTTTTGCTGGCGCCGTCAGCCCTCTCGCGCTGTAGCGCACCGTCTCACCACAACATTCGGGCTCCGTCTTGCGCAAGAAACTTGAAGGCGCTCCTGCCATCTGCTCATGTTGACTGCTTCAGTTCCAATTTTGCTTAAAGATCACCTTGAATTCACGAAGGTCTCCTTTTCTACGCCTTTTCTTCGCGATATTTGTGTTCAACAAGCGCAAGTAGTTTGACGGCAAGTGGTACAGCATACAAACGTTGTGCTCGGACCTTGGGTCAAATACCGGAAGGGGGTCGTCCAGAAAAACCGAGCTGGGCGTTCTTTGGAGGTAGTACGGAAACACTGCCTTGCACAGCGGCTGCTGGCCCCGCAGGTCATTGATACGTATAGGCCAAATCGCATTTAAAACGAGGCCACGATTCTGAATGGGACTAGAATGCGTGGCGCATTCCAACAGGATTGGTCGACGCCAAAAGTTTTACATATTGAGTTGTGGGCCGCACATGCTTTGTGCTCGATGGTGCTCAGAAGTAATTGTGAGCCATATGATCTTAGTTCTCACCCCTAGGTCTGAGCTCAGGAGGGGGAAGAATCACGTTGGAACCAATTTAGCGCTAGCACCCGAAGCCTGTCCTCTTTTCCCTTGATGTGTAGTCTTCAAATTAATCCTTCATAGAAAGAACTGTTTGTCGTGGTTTTTGACGTATTGAACGTTCTGCAAGCGATGCCCTCCCATAGTGGAGGAGCGTCGCGCCCTGCTCATGAGGGCATCGTCTACTACGACATACTGTCTGTAGTGCAAGTAGTTACTTTTTGATTCTCATTATTTTTTTCTGAATTTCATAAAGGCAAAGTCCCTCGTTTCCCACTTTCAACGTAGTGATATTTTCAAAATATTTATGATTTTGTCGAATCGTCAGCTCTACGCTGACTACCCAGAAGCATTTATCGTTCTCCCCGTTCCCTCAAAGTTGGATTCACATCATTAAGTCATCTTGTAAAACGATAGTTTAAGGAAGAGCTTCGAAGGGGCAGATGCTTTCAAAACAGCAGGTCCAATGATTCATCCTCATCGACTCGTATCGAAGCATTGATTATCGACTTCAGTGCTTCAGTTGCCTATCCCTCCTCCTTGAATGATTTCACGGAACCTCAACTACGACGAAAACTATCCTCTCTAATAGTATTAGTCCTGCCTGGGGCTGTAAGATTAGATCCCTCTTGTGTTACACCTCGATCTAGTCATACGCACTCATTCTAGAGTGGGCACTACTGAACGGGAAGTCATCTTCAACACATCAGTTATAATGCCACCTGATGCCGAGCGACAGTGGAGGGTTTAGTCTCTGCTGATTCGAAATTCTAGCTGAAGTATATTAATCAGGGATGCTTTACGCTGGTATTTACCAATGGGATCGCTCAGCTGACGCCAGGCTCTCTTCCTTTTGTGGGATCGCCCGTCTACAAAAGAATCACGCAACCGACGGGCTACCGTAACCTCTGCAGCGTCAAATAACATGCCACCCCGCTGCGCCCACACACATGTGGGCTCGACGTCTGAATTGAATTTCTTCCTTTCCTAGTGCCTAATTTGATACCAGCTTCGACACCTCTTCATTATTCTTTACCATTCTAACGCATTTTTCACTTTTTCTACGCCTATCGAGTAGAATAGAAGAATAGAAGACAATGTCTTTCACTCTAATATTGTACTTCTTGGCGCCCATGTTTTAGAGCCAGAAGGAGGAGGGGACCCTCATTTAAGTGAGAAACTTAAGCACTTGGGACTGAGCCTTAGAGAGAGGAAGGATTTCTGTGAGAGGATGTAAGCAATTTGTGTTTTCCCTGGCACTTCTCCCCTCTCCTGAACTTAGTCCTAGTGCTACATACCATCACCCCCGTTTTGAGCGTCCCCCTCTGAGGCCGTGAGCGTCTAATTTATTTTTTTTCATGCAAAGCATGTATTTCAACAAGTTCATTCTTTCCCTCAAAAGGCCTTAAAGCTGCGACAAAGCAGCAGAGATATGAAAAAGGAAGTAACTTACGTCCGATTGTTTATAGTGTCTATTATAAGTTCTAATAAGTACTGAACAACCGAGCCATGAAGGAACCACTGAGGCACACTAAGCACCAATTGTACTCTAACGTTTTCAAATCGAGCACGATGTGGT